GTGTGTGCTTCGTTTATCGTACTCATCACATATCTGTAACTTATTTTTGTGTGACTATAAATATCGATTAGAGCTTGGTTAGATCGAGTTGGTTCACTGACCTTCTCCACCGAATGTCATTTAATTTCTCTTTTCTCTCTCTCTCTCTCTCTGCACTTCGCTTTATTCTCTCCGTCTCCTTGATTGTTTGTCCAAATCAATAATTGGACATAACATACGTATTCTCGCATTTGACTTATTTAAGTTGATAATTATATACGAGGATTGATGATATGTCTATTTCCATAACAATTATTCATCCAATATAATTAATGTCAGATTTAGGGTCACAAAAACTTCTATTCTTAATGGTAGTCTAGTGAACGAGAACACAAACGGGAACAACCAAAAGTATCCCAACACAAAATGACAGAACATCTTAATTAAATCTGTGAACCATACAATAAATACTTCATATTCTGCAAAATGTCAATCAGTCATCTCAGACTTCATCGTTCATTCGTTTCTAAATCAATCATACTCTGCTCTCGTTCTCTTTTCTTTGATCTTCTTAACCTTCAACTGTCAATCATTTCACTTTTGATTGATGATACAATACTACTTATATCTATCGACATCAATAGCATAAACCACATTCATTCAAACATGTTCAAAACTGTCACATTATTATCCTATCAACTAGTCCAAAATAAATGGATCAATTTATCCTTGTTGTTACTAACTACGTACTTATGATAATAGAAGAATGAAAGAAAGAAAAAAAACACTTAATTCACTGAATGATTAAAACAATTTCTCAACTACAGTAACTATGATTAATGATTATTTACAACACAATTTGAATCAATTTAGCTTTATTTTAACCGAAATATTTTACTCTTAATGTTTAGGTCAATATGAATCAGAGTAGTTTACTACCCTTTTTTTCTCTATTTTTTTTTGTTGTTGTTGGCATATTGTCTGACCAATACAGTGTAATTAGTTACACCCGATTTTCAAAACTATGGTAACAGAGTATGCGTGCGTGCGTATGTGTGTGCATATGTGTGTGTTTGTATATACATTAATGAATGTGCGCGTATATATATATATATATATATATATATATATATAAATGTGTGTGTGTATGTCATTTAGTGTTTATTGAATTTCCGGGTGTTTTTCCATATAGGTCAACAATCAGAAAATGTTACTAATGAGGGAAATTATATTCGATTTATCAACTTGATTGATTTTTCAGTTTATTCAAATCAATAATTACTACTACATAGTCATGGATACTGTATAAAAAAAAAAGTAGAATTCTCGTATATGTTTCATAGGCTTCATATGCCCTATATAACATTCTTTCCTTGTAACAGAATGCACTTCCTGGATTCCACTGTTAGTCATCATCCATCTTCGTTGAAATCTGTAGAAGTTTTAATTCATTGACATACACAAAAACGTAACTTAAGATTTGATTTCGTAGAGAAGATTTGTAGCTCAGGTGAATGATTTTGATCTTTGAGCTGGATGGTTTGCTTTGTGGAACTTTCATTGTTCTTCTGAACGACGACATCATCATCAACAGCATAAAACTTCAGTTAAAAGGTTTGAACAAAGAATGTGACTATTTCAAAATGTGATTGATTGAAAAATTCAACTATTAAATGGATTAAATACTGTACAAGTTTATAAAGATGATAGATAAACTCTAACTATTTCATTATACTTACCAATTTAAATGTATCTGTGTATGTGAATAGAAATGTAGGACAATATTAGCACAATATAAACTTGAAAATGACTGAAAATGACAAAAAGCAAATAAGATCCCAGATTTTGTACTAACGAACGATCACAGAATTGTAATCAGCTTAACCCTAAATGTCAATCAGGGAGGTTCCCCCAAACGCCCTGGCACGACCGACGGTAGGGAGAGTTCACTCTACCTCTCAAAATGCTCTCACACAACCACGTGCATAAAACCACTTACAGGGAAATCATAATCACTGCCTTCTTGCCGTATTACTGTTGGTTACGAAATTGAGAGGAAAAATAAGCGAATGTCAGTTGCTTTAACAGGGATGGTGGATTCGGAGGATCCATCTAGGGGAGTTGGTAAACCCCGATTCCAAATCAATGGTACACATGGGCTCCAGGATCTTGAAGGAACAAATAGCGTATGAACTTATGATCAAAATAGTTCAAAACCATTAGGTTTTAATTTGGTGTTTAACATTCATGATCAATTTTTAGGAAATGTTCTGTATTCAGATGCACTGGATATAGTCTACAAAAAGAAAACATGAAACTTGGGAAACACTATGAATAATTCGATGATTAATTCTTTTCGTAACTCATTTAATCTATTAACTGATGTTTATTTATTTATTTAAATTTAAATGGTTAAGATCATGAGTCAGTTGAAGCTAGACCACCATGGAAAACCTGGAAGCACTGGACGGCTGTTTCGTCCTAGTATGGAACTCCTCAGCGAGATTCTAACCAAGGACCTACTGGTTTCGCGCGCGAGCACTTAAGTGCTCATGCGTGATATAAATCATTTGAACTGTGTGAGGGCTGGGATGCTGAACGAGTCCCCAAACCTAAGCACGTGGTTTTATTAGGGGCCCGTACTCGGGGCCTTCGACCTAGAGGTTTAATCCACAAGGCAATAGAGTAACGTAAGGAGATGCAGTCTCATGGTACCTGGTAACCAACTTTTGGTTCATATGCCATTTGTTACTTCAGGATACTGGGGCCCATGTGCACCATTGGTTTGGAATGAGGATTTTCCAACTCCCCTAGGTGAACTCTCTGTGTCCACCAATCCGGTTAAAGTGCTGAACATTTACTTTTCGTCCTCTCAATTTCGTAAACAGCATCGTCGCCACGAGAAAACAATGGTTGTATGCACATACTCAAGTACTTGGAATCATCCATTTAGCCTTATGATTTTCTAATTAACATGTTGAGAATATGTGTATCTGGGATGAACAATAAAAAGAGATTTCATGAATAAGAAAAGTGGGAGAACAAATGATTATAATCATGCTATTTCAATTTTCAATGATTGAATTTATCACAAAAAAACATTCAATCAAATTAAACGACTTAAATGTAATTAGTTTATTGATTGGAAATCAATTTGATCTATTTACAATCCAACTATCTTGATACAATCACTGTAATGATTCTTAATTTTAGGGCTTATTCCATTATTGAATAAGTATTAGCTATATTGATTAAAATCCATTGACAATAATAGAGACTATTATTAGTGAAAATTAAAAAAAAAAGAAATCCAACCCTTTTTTCACCTCTCTCTCTCTTCCCCCCCCTCTCTCTCAAATGATTACTAATGACCTATGTATAGGAACAAAAGGATGGAAAGTATGTATAAGGAGAGTAACAGAACAGAATTTAGTTTAATACTTAATTAAATAGTATTGTTTGGTAATATTTATCTCTTTATCTCTAAGCATCGATTGGGCGTCACCTTGTAAAAGTTGTCAAAAAAATTGTCACATTAAAATTTTCTACCAGTTATCCTCCAAGATCTTAAGTTTTTAAAAAAAATGGTAATAGGAATAATCCCACTCATTCACTTACCCACTCACTCACTAACATACTCAAATACTCACTCGCTCACTCGCTCGCTGACTCACTCACTCAATCACTAACTGATCAGTAGTCTTGTTAATCTAAGTAAATTAATTCATATATTAACACTGTTATCAATCTTTATTTACCATTTCATTAATTACAATAAGTGTGGTAGTATTGTAATAGAGATCATATCCTGATTTGATGTATATTTATATATAGTGATTTAGTCAAATGTGAAAATCTTACATGAAATATATTATCAGTTTAGGGGTTGTGGAGATTGTTAAGTTTTTGATTGAGATCATGAACCAATTGATGTTAGATCACCATTGAAAACCTGGAAGCACTGGACGGCAGCTTTGTGGGTTAGTTGAGGTCAGACATTAATACCATTGGATGCCGGCCCACTGTTCTAGTAAGTTAAGCGTTCGCACGCGAGACTGAAGGCCTTGGGTTCGAATCCTAAGAGCGCGGTCGTGGATGCGAACTGCTGAGGAGTCCCACAATAGAGCGAAACGGCCGTCCAGTGCCCCTAGGTTTTCAATGGTGGTCTAATATAAATCGGTTCATGATCTCAATGAAATATATTATTTGTATATTTTTCATGATTCTTCCAATTCCATTTTTCGTGGCTCAAGATCTGACTTTATTTTGGATCGTATGATGATTGCTATCGAATTATTGAAATATACATATTTTGGTTACTCTCGTATATAAATATCGGGTGAACTTACGTTAGTGACTGGCTTCAAGAGGTATTTCCTGGAGTTTTAGTGAGAAGCCATCACCAGTGAAGTTCAACCAGTCTGTTGTGAGATAGAAACTCACCGAAGATAATTGTGGATGGTGGCGCAATGTAGTGGACTAGTTGAAGTTAGACATTAACATCGTTAAGTGCTGGCTCAGTGATCTAGTACTTAAGCGTTCGCGAGCGAGATCGAAAGTCCTTGGTTCGAATCTCACATGTGGGATTGTGGATATTCACTACTGAGTCATCCCGCACTAGAACGGAACGGCCATCTAGTGCTTCCAGATTTCCAATGGTGGTTTAGCTTCAATTGGCTCATCAATTCAACTACGGAATTATATAAGTCAAATACGAGAATGAAGTTTTGAATGCGTTTATTTGTATAATCGTTGATCCTGGCAGATGATCAAAGAAACGAGGCAAATGAAGCGAATAGATGAGAGCGATGCGTGGCGAAGAAGGCATGTTAACCAACTCAATTTAGTTAAAAGTGAATCGGCATTTATAGCTGAACAGAGATCAATTACAGACATGTAATGAGTAAGATAACAAGTGCATACACATACACTCACATAAAAGAAGTAAAGGTTGATAAGTGAATAATTATCAAGGTCAAAATGACAATACACATTTCTAATTTTCTTCTCTCGTCTCTATATTACAAACTACATTCATTAAACATTCTGGTAGTAGTAGTAGTAGTAGTAGTAGTAGTAGTAGTAGTAGTAGTAGTAGTAGTAGTAGTAGTAGTAGTAGTAGTAGTAGTAGTAGTAGTAGTAGTAGTAGTAGTAGTAGTAGTAGTAGTAGTAGTAGTAGTAGTAGTAGTAGTAGTAGTAGTAGTAGTAGTAGTAGTAGTAGTAGTAGTAGTAGTAGTAGTAGTAGTAGTAGTAGTAGTAGTAGTAGTAGTAGTAGTAGTAGTAGTAGTAGTAGTAGTAGTAGTAGTAGTAGTAGTAGTAGTAGTAGTAGTAGTATAATTTTTAGTTCTAGAGCAATTCATTTACCATTACAGAAATTTCGTTTTACATAGTAACTATGCCCATAACTACCCCCGTTTTTTATTTTAGCTATTAAAATCGATTTGAAATGATAATTATAGCTTGTGTGTAAGCTGTCACTTTCTGTCACTGTGCATATATATATATATATATATATATATATATATATATATATGCATGTATAAATGTCGTATGTGTAGATCCAAGATACATAGTGGTAGTAGCAGTAGTAGTAATAGTAGTACTAGTGTATGAAGTAAATAAAACAGGGAGAGGAATAAAAGGTAGAATAGAAAAATAACCCGTTAACAAACTGATTAAGTGCTTTCCCTTCTATTGTATATTACCATATCCCAGTATTTACTTTGTCTGATGAATGTATATTCATTTATCACCAGATTACTAAAAATAGATTATTATTACTATGAAAATGAATGAATGCATAATTGATTTGGATGAGATACATTAGATGTTGTTCTCTTCTCTTTCTTTTTTCTCCTCTTTTTTCTATACTAAAAGCATTTCATCAATCGTTTTGATTATTTCTGACAGTAATTGGATCAGGTTGTATAGTCAACAGAGAGGTTATTATTATTATTATTATTATTATTATTATTATTACTATGGATACTACAGTATGAGTATAATTAACTCAGTGTAAAATAACAAAAAAATGCACGTGACTGTTTGAAATACCAATCCGTTGATTAGTTTGTATACAAATCAGTGATGGCAACACAATTATAGTGAGATATTTATTCAATGAAAGTAATAATCATTACTTAAATGAATAGAAAATTACAGTGAGATTAAAATATATGGACGACCTTTCAATGACACTAAAGTAATCTTGAGAGTCTCCATCTAGTGACTAAGACTAAATGAGGAGTATAAACCTGTGTGAGGAATTACAAGTATGATTCGCAGTTTTTATCACTAAACTGACATCAATTATAATGCCGAAACTTTATTTAGCCAAATGGATGAGTGAGTTTCGCACGAAAATCTGAGATCTATTATCTTATTCCTGATGAGTTCGTCCATAGACTATAGTCTCACCGAAATTACAAAAGTATTTTTCACTGTCCTATTGAACGATATTCCTTATTTTAAAAAATCTCAAATAGAAAGAAGATGATGGATAGTAACTGGCAGTGGAATCCAGGAAGCGCGTTTCGTCCTACTTGGGACTCGTCAGCCGGATATACCTGCATCTCAGTGAGTTGGTGTCCACTCTGGGACTGGAACCCAGTACCATTCGCTTCAAACGCCATCGCTCATTCTGGATTTCACTGCTATCCACTATCCATCATTGCTTACAAATAGCTTGTGAATTAAAGTAATATCGAGGCATACACACTGTGTGCACATAAACCAATAATACACTGATCAATTGCAGTTTTAAACCTCAATGGGAAGATACAAGCCAAACAATACCAAGTGAATTAGAAAGAAGATGGTTGGATAGATGTAGATGTATTGAAATGTTTTCAATGATAACACGTATTGGTTCTTGTTTTAGATCAAGTATGAATGGATCTATTGTATGATCCTAGTTAGCTTTTAAGTTTATTCATTTTTAACGTTGACGATTCAAATGTAATGTCTAAAACTGTAGTTTGCAATCGGTTTTATCATGGATAATATAATTTAATGGTTCGATATCTGACTCCATTTAGATAGTATAAATGATAATTATTCAATGATTACTGTCAAAATATACACTCATGCTATCCACGTATACAATCATCGACTTAAATCGCGTTAATCAATAACGGAATTAAATAGGTCGAATAAGAGAATAAAGTTTTGAATACGTATATTTCATACAATTGTTGATCCGGATGAACGATCGGAGTAAAGAAGTGAAGGAGGTGTAGCGAAATGACGCACAGTGAAGAAGGCGTGTGAGCCAACTCGATTTATCCTAGCGTTAATTGGTATTTATAGCCGGACAACAAATAAGTTACAGGAATGCGATGAATGGAATAAGAAGTGCACACACATATACGCTCATCTGAATACGATGAAGGTTGATAAGCGAAGAATTAACATAGTCAAAATGTAGCTTCAGAAGAATGGATAAATTGGTTTGTCTGGATGCGAGAATAAATTATATGGGCTTAACATAGAAACTGACACTACAATAACATTATGATTAGTGGAGAGTTTAATAACCGTTTACGATTTACCTGGGTGATTTTTTTACTGTGGTTATGTTATATCTAGAGCTTAGATTCTTAAGATACAGCGTATAACTTGAGCGCTCGAACGCTAGAACCGTCTTAAGTTGCAAATAAAAAGACAGAAGAAAAGTGAAAGGAATGTTATTCCAAACAGTGTCAAATATCCCACAAACTGTCATGTATTTATAGCTATTAGTAAAATCAAAATCATCATTATAATCATGCAATCTGCATATAGGAATTTTTAGCATTTGTCCAATAGGGGAGCTCCACACAGGGATTCTGGAATATTCTTCCAAAAGATGATTGGATGGAGTATCTTTGGCTCTTTCTAAGCTTCTTAGAACTTCCTCGAGCTCACTCATGAACCGTCCTCACAGGTTATAAATCAATAAATAATTTCTTAACAAATTAGCTAAAATGGATGACTTGAATTGCACTACATAATACACGAGTTGAATGGATCTTTCACAAACAAATTAGGATAATTAAAAAAAATCATAATCTTTCTATTCATTTGGCAAATGTAACTTCGAAAATCAGAGCAAAAAAGGGTAGGGAGAACCAACCAAAATAAACATCCAGACAATAACAGGACAACAGTCAATTACAGATCAAGATTGACATAGCAAACTGATAGTTGTATATAGAGAAGTTAGTGTATTACACTTTTATATAAAGTTTGTTCTTATGCTATCTAGAAGGACAATGTATGTTTCGGAAGTAAACCACTTAGATCATTCAGACAGTCAGTCAGTTACAACGTAGGACCAGGCACATACATGCATCGGTCCAAGTTGCTACACCTCATTAGCATAGCAAGATGAGCAACGGAACCATGGAAGTAGTTAACTGAATGGTGTAATATATAAAAGAAAGATTTTATGTAAGGACTCTGTACACCAAGAGGTCCTATGGCAATGTTTGTCATTGGAAGGTGTTCCTCAGAAGTACATAAACCTTGTGAAGACTCCTTACTCGAACACTACTAGTCAAGTGAGAGCTTATGGAGAACTGTCATCTGCTTTTGCAACTTCAAGTGGTGTCCGTCAAGGCTGTCCACTTTCTCCATTTTTGTTTAACATCATTATAGACCTATTGATGGAAATAACATTCTCGTCAACTGAATTCTCGGGTATTGATCTCCTTCCAGGAGGTCCACTTATCGACTTAGAATACGCAGATGGTTTAGTTCTGTTTGGTGAAGCTGATAAAATAGAGAGTCTTTTGATGGCACTGATCTATGAATCTTCTTTACCCTGTTGAAATTAATAAGCACTGATAGTGATCAGTGGTGAATTTAATGTTAATCTAGGCTTTGGTATTCAATGAATTCTATCAATCGAGTTGTATCGTGATGATTAGTCTAAGTGACTTACAGGTTTTCCATGGTGATCTAGCTTCAATTGAATCGTGAATCCAACCATCAAGATTACTACAATCTTCAGAAACCCCTATTCTGATAATAGTCATCATGAGCTCACCAGTAACTGACTTCAAAATGTATTTCCTGGATGTCTGGTGAGAAGCCATCACCAATGGAGTTCAACCAGGTCTGTTGTAAGATAGTAAATCACTGAGGACAATGGTGAACGTGCCGTTCAATTTCGTGAATTAGTTGAAGTTAGACATTAACACCAATGGACTAGAAGTTAGGCGGACAGATAGGATCTGAGTTCGAATCTCGTGAGGTGGGATCGTGGATGCGCACTGCTAAGATGGAATCCCATACTCGAACGTAATCGCCATCGAATGCTTCCAGATTTTCAATAGTGATTTAATGTTGATCAAATTTGAAGTTCATTCACATTATTCTTATATTAAAATGATTTATTTTCAGATATTTCGAATAGTAATATATTAATATAAATAGACAAATATCTATTTCAATAGTCGAAATCATGAGTCAATTGAAGCTAGACCACCATGGAAAACCTGTAAGCACTGGACGGCTATTTCGTCCTAGCATGGGACACCTCAGCAGTGCGCACCCACGATCTCATCCCCTGCGAGATTCGAACTCAGGACCATTGAACTGGCATTCAATACTTCCAGGTTTTCCATAGTAGTCTAGCTTCAATTGATTCATGATTTCGACTATTGAAATGATCTATTTGCCCAAAAAAATTACATTTACTTTTCTATATGAGATATATTTAATTAGTTAATAGTTACCCAGTTGAACAATTATTTATTATAACAGCTGATGATAGATAGATAGAGAGATAGACAAACAGACGGATAGATAGATAGATAGACATATGAAATAATTTGTCATACTTGTCAATATGATCATTTAAAACAAATAAATCAATATGGGCGGGAAATTATTGAAATTAAACGGAAGAAAAAAGATATAAATAGATTGAAAATATATAACTTCACTAAGATGAAAAGGATAATTTGAAAGTGAAATCATGTTGATTTGAGAAGTTGTTTCTTTCTAATATTGAAACTATCAACAATGGGTACATCTTCGATCGATAACATCTTTCAGGGAATCTAGTATTACTTAGTTAACATCGATTAGTTTCGATAAAGAGTTCCCAGGGGTAAAACTCAACTATTCTAATAATAATTCACTTGATATTGATATTTCAGTCCTAAAACATTAATGGGAAGATTCAGGCAAAAACAATATCAAGTGATTTAACCTTCAACCCATTGCACGAGCAAGTGGCTATCAGGACTCAGTAACTAAGTAGATAATGCGATGGCGTTTGAAGCGAACGGTACTGAGTTCGAGTCCCGGAGTGTACATCAACTCTGAGATGCAGGTACACCCAGATGACGAGTCCCAAACAGGACGAAACGCG